ACACATACACACACACACACACACACACACACAATCTCTACCTTTAAGTATATAATGATAAATTAGTTTTTAAGTCTCTAGAGGCGTGCGAGTGTCTGTCTGTATATGCATCCACAAAGCGTATAATTCACGATATGGTCATAAATGACGTGGTATGGTGAATGCATGTATGCTAGTTTATAAATCAGCAGCCGTGGATGTATGAGTGCATGACGTGTATTAGTCTTTAATTTACCTGGATCGTAAGGCAGGGGAGCCAGAGAGAACCACTTGTTCTGACGGAAACTGAAGCAGATGACGTCAGTTGGCTTGGCCTGGGTGGAGCCACCGGTCAGGACCACAAGGACCTGGGACAATAAAGATTCACAGTAAACAAATTGGTCTAACAAAATGTCTTCTTCTTTTTTTTTAAAGCGAGATCTTGTTTGTTGTGGAATCTGCAGGGTTGGGACTGTTTCTGTCGCAAAGTTAAACAATGAAATAGATAAGCACCGCGCACACAGGCAACTCGGGTTGTTGGAGACTGAAAAGCTTTCGTTTTGTCACAACTTTCCGGTAACACAACTGTTGCTCAAATCTCCTGTGTTTCATACCAAACTGACACAGAGCGTGCACAGGCAACCAAATTGTATCCGGACTCGACAAGGCCCCGCTACTCCTCAATCAGCACAACAGACACACAATACATTGTTTCACTTCCGCAAGAAGAGAAAATGGATAGCGATTTAACTTGGATGGAAAAATTTATAACTGTCATTGCAAAGAAGCCTGTCCTCTACAACAAGATCTCAGATGAGTATGCTGACAGTTTGACATGCCCTTTTAAAAACCTGTGACTGGTCAAACAGACAACCACTCCGTCATGGAAGTCCATGGCGTCAAATGAGGAAGTCAGTAATGATGATAGCCTACTGTTGCCTGGATGTTGCTTAGCTCTGTTCGCCCGATGTGTAAAGTTATTTGTCCGGAGACAGAAACTGTTGCGCAACTAAAATTACCCTTTGCGCCCTCAACCGGAAAGTAGAACCCATTCACAGACGAAGGGAAGCAACCCTCTCATCTTACGTAGGTAAAAGTTGTTTCTTGTGAACTCCCTTTTGGAAGAAACAAAGTGTAAATTAATGAAAAAGAAATAGAGGTATCCCTTCAAACTTTACCTATCCCCGCCCCTCCCCCCGTCACCCTCACAATTCAAAAGGAATCCATCTAATATGAATGTAAAAAACTAACTCACCTCCTCAAGATCAAAGCTGTTTCTGAAGCTAGCTCGCTTGCTGGTAAACTCCTGTCTCCTGGCGGGTAACATGTGGTAGCGCTTTGCCTCCTCCAGCATCACACGGCACACAATGTCCTCCTTGAGCAGGCCTCGCTGCTGGCTGTAAGACAGGAGGTGGGGGATGCACGTGTGTCAATGGGTGATTATAACAAAGGTGCTTGAATGTTATAATATTGCTATTGTTGGAGTGTGTCTTTGTGTCAATGGGTGAGTATTATAAAGGTGTCAATGCTTGAGTGTGTTAACTTGTCTTTGGTGGAATAAGAGTGTCAAAAGTGAGTCTTGGTAACCGTCAGTTATACGTAGGTTTCAATGGGTGAGTATACATAGATGGTAATGGATAGTATTCATAGATGCCAATGGATGTGTGTGCATGGGTGAATGTCAATGGAGGAATATGTAAATGTTTCGGTAAGTTGGATAAAATGTAGGTCTCTCTTTCTCTATCCATCTCTCACTCACTCACACCCCATTCCTCTCTCTCTCTCTCTCTCTCTCTCT